GAAACTAGTTTCAACGATCCAACCGTCAAACTTGTTTCTTTATACTTCGAGATCGTATACCCTAAAAATCGGAAAAAATAAACATTCAGAGATCACGTAATGGGACAAAACTTTTCGATGGTTATAAACAAAAATCACGATTTAACGGTTATTTTAACTCCGATTTTGATGATTTTTTATATCTACACTCGTTGACCCTATATGAATATAATGACTCAATTTGATCTTCAATTTAAAATATTTACACTAGTGGATACCACAAAATCTTATGTTGTATTTAATGAAAGTATAAATAAACTCTTAATTGTTAGTGAATATATTGTTTTGATTGCATATGTATTCTATGAAACTATTTTCAACGATCCAACCATCAAACTTGTTTGTTTATACTTCGAGATCATATACGCCAAAAATTGGAAAAAATCAACATTCAGAGATCAAGTAATAGGACAAAATTTTTCGACGGTTATAAACGAAAATTCACGATTTAACGGTTATTTCAATTTCGATTTTGATTATTTTTTACAGCTACACTCCTTGACCCTATATGAATACAATGAACCAATTCGATCGTCAATTTAAAATATATATTTTCTAACAAAAACCCAGTCCGAACTACAATAATATATGTTTCTAACAAAATAATTTTTTTAAAAATTTATTTTTGTACAGACTTTGCGAGACGAAGATTATTATTTGTCGCGCAAAGTCATCCAAAAAATTTTAAAATTAATTTTTTATTTTATTTATTTTTGTAAACACTTTGCGAGACGAAGATTATTATTTCGTCGCGCAAAGTCATCCAAAAATTTTTAAAAATAAATTTTTATTTTATTTATTTTTGTAAAGACTTTGCGAGACGAATGACACTTCGTCGCGCAAGACTTTGTGTACCGAATATTTGTCTTTCGTCGCGCAAAGTCATGCATAGATTTTTAAAAATAAGTTTTTATTTAATTTATTTTTGAAAAGACTTTACAAGACGAACAACACTTCGTCGCTCAAGGCTTTGTGCGACGAATTTAAGTGTTTCGTCGCGCAAAGTTACTTTTCGCGACGATGCTTTGTCGTCACTCAAAGTTTTGTCGCGAAAAGTGACTTTGTGCGACGATTTGTATTTCGTTGCGCAAAATTTAGTCGCGTAAGACTTTGCGTGACAAAGTTTAATTTTCGCCGTGCAAAGTTTGGTCGCGCAAGGGGTTTTTTTTACTAGTGTACAAACATACATAAAGAAATTAGCTATAGACATAGTAAAAGGAAACATCACTAGAATTGAAGAAAGCATGAAAAATTATGGAAGATGGCTCCTAGAATTTGTAACAAT